TAAAAATAGTTAAAAATCATTTAAAATACTCAAAAAAGGGTATTTATTAAAAATATAGCAATATACGATCACTATTATGTCAATAAATAACAATTCCATACTTAGTGATTTTTAAGGTCAGAATTGTAAATGTAGCCTGCGGAGACACATTTGTATAACCGTACATATACAAGTACAGAGGTCGATCGCGACTCTTAGTACTATAGTCAAAGTACCTTGTATGAACGTCCCATACCAATATCATATGGAAGTAAGGTCTAATGGATAAAAGTAATAGTATGTGAAGGCTCAGAGAAAAAATAATAAATATATAAATATAATGAAGAGCAATGAATGACTTGGGACTTTATAAGAGATATTACTATGGAGTTGCATGGTACTTCTGTACGACGAAATGGTCTACGGTAAACGTGGAACCATGAATGGATATGTCTTCAGTGGTGAACATATCATCGATAGCTGGTGGTAGTTGGCGTCTTAATGACCATCACTATGATACGTTAGCTGTCATTCGGCATAGTAAGAGTTTGGTGGTAGTTGGCGTCTTAGTGTGTTGCACTATGATACGTCGACTGATCATCTGACTTTGGGGAGTCTGGTGGTGGCTTGCGTCTTAGTGTATTCCACTATGATACGTTGGCTATTACTTGACTGGGGTGGGGGTCCGTTGGTGGTTGGCGTCTTAGTGTTTACGCTATGATACGTCGACTATCATTCGGATCGTGAAAGAGTATGTTTGGACACTTCGTGTGTTCCGAGTATATTCTAAACTTTGGAGCCGAAGTTGATTGGAGTTATATTGGTGTGGTGTGATGAGGGTGTGCCACCTACGCGATAGTCACATTGATGCGTGCGGCTATATGCAGTAATGCGTCTTGTGGTAGTTGCGGGGTGATCTGCGCCTAATATCATTGCATCGTATGATTCAGGTTGACGGAGGTTCGAGATGATGATGTCTGCTGTGTATGCGGATAGGCTGTATGTTAGCGTGTTGACCTGCGATAGTTGTATTGATGCATGTTGCGTTCAGTGACATTGCGTCTTACGACATTTGCTTGGGAGACGACGCTATTCATAATGGCCGAGTCTGCCTCTCGGTTTGATGCACATCTCAGTAGATTTGTCCAAGTCGGGTTCCTGATGACGGAACTGCAGACTGTCTGACCTCCCGTATACGTTTTAACATTATTAACGAATCTCAGTAAAGTTCCCACCGTTCGAACGAATAATGGCAACTTGCTGGTGGGTGAGACAAACTTGATCGAAAATACATTATACTCAACGTCAGAGACACTGACAAATAAATATGTGTTGGCAATTATAAACCCTTCTGATGGCTAAACATAAAAATACACACAACTATGGCTATATATGACTATTTCAATGGTTGGTGGAGCATATGCGTTTACCTCATGTGGATGGTACCTGGCGGGAGAAAACCTCTCAAGGCTGCGGCGATGCAATGCAACGTTTTAACCATACCCTTGGGGTGAGCAGTGACTCATAACGCGCTCTGCGACGAATTGTGCTAACCTTGTAATGGTGGTGATGCCAAAACACTAACAATCACGTCTGCAGTCGCGGCGGTCTGGCAAAAGTGGTGGCGTTTACGGAGGGCTTATTATATCATAGGGCCAGAGTGCCTGATCTTTAACACATGCCCAAAACCGTATTGACGTACATTCACGAAGACTGGATTTGTCGTAGACTTGTATGACGTTTACACGCATTGACATGCGCGACTTCGGTCAAAGTTTGTGCTTACGCACCGCCAAGGGGCCAAGCCCTCTTTATGCTGTTAAAACAGCTTTGCAATGGACTTCGGTCCAATATGTTGGTTGGCGCTCACCGCACACGGCGTTGGTGAGTGTTTTCATGGAGCCGTGTGCCTTCCCTACCTATTACTTTAAATGTGGAGGAGCTGTTGACTTGTATCGGGTATGTAAAATTGATGTGAGCCCTTTTCAAGAGAGAAGGGATATTATTTTAAAATTATATTGTGAGCCCTTTACAAGCGTGAGAGGGAGTATACTATATACTCTGAGCCCGTCTCAAGCGAGTCGGGATTAGTTAATAAGAAAGCAATCTGACATTATCTCTGGCTTAGAGATACACCTAAAAGAATCAAGTTACTAATTAAACACAACGTAAATGAGGTCCTACCGAATATGACGATCACAATAATATTTCATACGGCTAATTATTACCTTTAGAAAGATCCTAAAGAAAGATCAATAAATTATCCTGGTCACGTAATGATGTTATACGATTTATTCGTATAACGGGGCAGAAATATATATAAGTTATATAATTATATATGCAAAAGGGGGGTTCAGTTACAGTATGAAAATAGGTTCGTTAAAAATAGCTTTCATTAAAATTAAATTAAATTAAACGTCTATAGTTAGTATTTAGAAATACATTTAGAATTACATTTAATAATTAACACTAGCTAGCCCGCGCAGCTTAGTCTGCACCAAATCTCCCGGCTCCATGCCTTGCGACTTTAACATAGCACCATCTATTGGATATTGACCTATCCAGGCAATAAATTTACCTTATACCGCCATCTGTTACAATCTTATGGAACTCACAGATAATTATAACTCTTTGCCATAATTTATTTATTTGCACACTTTTTTGTACTTGCTGGTACAAACGGCGGGCTTAATGCCAGGCATTTTCTACCAGCCAACCGGAAAGTTAGTGAGAGATAATTGTAGGTGATAGCTATATAAGGATTATATAATATGTATACATACATTATGATAACAATTATTAAACACTTACCACAATAAATACATCTATATTTAAATGAATACTATTTTAATAGGTAAATATATATATTATAATAGGTAAATATATATATATACAGCGTGTCGTTACCATCGCGACAATAAATTAACACACGTCTATCGCTACTTGCCAATAATCATAAAAAAATATTAACGTTAAACAAAATCCATAATTAAAAAAAAATATTATTCAAACAAACTAATTAAGTAAAAAAGAAACAAAATTTGTAACATCCTATACAACTCGCGCCACAGCGTCGCATTACAAGCATCTCCTTCTAACAGTATGTTTTGTCTCTTTTAAACTCATTCAACCCATTCATATTCTTTGTGACCTTTACAAATGAACTTTACGTTACAGTTTTATACGTAAGGGTGTTCTAAAATTGTTTGTTTTGGAAAATTGAATAACTCGGTAAATATTGATGTTTAAAGAATATTTACATTCTTAAGCTTAATACAACTTTAAAAAGTTATCCCCTATATGTGTGTTCATTTATTGTCGCGGTGGTAACGACACGCTGTATATATATATATATATATATATATATATATATATATATATATATATATATATACCTATTAAAATAGTATTCATTTAAATATAGATGTATTTATTGTGGTAAGTGTTTATACGTGCATAAAACGGAAATATCTGTCAAACGTTATCCATACTACTGATCATAAGACGAATTAAAATATTCCTTAACATTAGCTTTAAAAATAAATTTATTCGGCGATTTTCCAATTTCAGTAGGAAGGGCGTTCCAGAGTCGAGCTGTAACAGCGAAGGATTTAGAGAGAAAACCGGTACGGTGAGAAGGAATAAGCAAAGTAAGATTACCAGCAGATCGAAGATTGCATTTACCCAGGTACTGAAATTTGACCAATGCGAAGGAATTTACAGACAGCATGAGTAGGTACCCAGGTACTGAAATTTAGACTTCAGATCCGCTGGGGCAAAAGGATCGTTATACAACTTACAGTTTAAAGTACAGTTTAAAGAATTGAAATGTTTAATACAACTTTAAAAAGTTATCCCCTATATGTGTGTTCATTTATTGTCGCGATGATAACGACACGCTGTATAATACATTATAAACAAATAATTTGCAATAAAAAATATTGCGACTATAACTGTGATATAAACTGATCATCTCAATATGATTAGTTTATATCATTAAACATCTCTTAAGATGGATCTTTCACTTTACACAGTGTGCAAAATTTGATTAAAATAGATTCAGTAGTTTAGGAGTTCATTGCGGACACACAACGTGACACGAAATATTTGTATACATATATAAATAAAAATATTATTAGGTAGGGTAAAAAGTAAAGCTTATTTTACGATCCGAATAAAACGCACTTTAAATATTATTGCTAGGATATAGATTTATCCTTGTGTTCTCTGAGTGAATTCAAAAAGGTTGCATTATTAATTGGTAGTGGATACAGTAAATAAGTAGTTTTCTTTATGTTGTAGATAGCCGCACTATTGTATTAGGTTAGGTTAGGTACCTGTAAAGGTAGTGTAAGGTTTGTTTATAAATAAATAAATAAATAAATAAATAAATTTTTGTGTTTGGCCATATGGAAGTTCCATAAAAAGTGTTCCCATTCCATTCCCACCAAATACGCAGTAGAACCTTCCCGTTCGTTATTCCTGGTTTGGCTACCGTTTTAAATACATCATCACCGCGCTCTGATCATGATAGATTTTTAGTTGTTGTATGTGACCCATTTCGTATACCTTTTGAGGTCACCTGTGTTAGGGCCAGTCTTCGCTGTTGCACGAATGGGCATGTTCGTGCGGATAAGTACCACGACCACACAACTTCTGCTCGTTTTCTTCGTTCTTTCTACTTGTCTGGTGAGTGAGGTAACCGGGGCCCACTTTGTTATAAGGTGGCAAGGCATCTGCAACCCTTAAGGTGTTTCAGATCCCGTGAGGAGTTGCCCCCGTGAGGAGTTGCCAGATCTCCCATCGGGCGCGTCCCCAGGTGGCGGATAGGGGAATGCAATGAAAATAGATATGGGTGGTAGCGGAATACCGTCGTGGACCAAAACTGGCTGGGTTTGGGGCGTACCCTCGAATCTATTGCGATTCGAGAAACGGCCTCTCGGAATCCTGTTAAGGATTGCCTACGAGGTGGGCCTTTAAGGCTCTCTGTCACTCCTTGCTTCTTTCTACAAGAAAGAACAATGGACGTGACAAGTGCGGCGATGTGCCAGGTGCATTTCGGATTTCACCGACGCCGCACAACCCGTAAACCTTCGGGAGCGGGGGCCACGAGTGGCCGAAAGGAAGGTAACCTCTATAAAAAATCCCCCAACCCTAAGGTCGAGCGTGCCGACGGGTGAATGGCTGTCCCCAAGTCCCCCAGTCCCAAGCGCTCCGGGGGGGAGGGAGTTATTGCAGGGACCAAACTCTAGTAAAAAAGGATAACATGCAAGCAGTGGGTAATAACAAACTACCCCAGGGTGGTACCGGCGAAGCCGGAGAATCCACCCCTAGGTCTAGCCTAGGCAGCCCCATCGTATCGGGGGGGGGGGCAACACACTGCTTTACGGCGATGCATCGGCATCGTCCGTGGATCCCCTAAGAACCGGGGATCACAGGGAGGAAGGGGCCGTGCCTGGTAACGCACCGGTCCCAGCGCGTAGCTCACGTGGAAAACGTGGAAGACGGGGGCGCTTAGCACGCCCATGCACAATAGACGATCAAGCTGAAGGTGAGTCTGATGGCTCTCAGGTTGCCCGCATTTCGGCTACTTCCGAAGATACTCGAAAAAGGAAAGCTAAGGCTCCGAGGGGCGACACAGTGGCCGCTAAATACAAAGCGGTGGCAGCCTCTGCTTCAGCCACAGCCACAGAAGGGGAAGACAAGGAAGACGGGCACGATACTGAGGAGGATTCCCAGGACCTGTCTGGTATGAAGTTAAAATCAACCTTACCTAACACGGAAGGGTTAGGACTGAAGTTGAAATCTCAAAGCAACAGAACGATTGAAAGTCACATAGATTTTCAACTCCAGGAGATTGAAAAAGTTGCGGATTGTTCCCGCAACTTAAAAGCTGCAGCTAATGAACTTGCTAGGAGGTTCAGTGCTAACGGAATTGTAGCAAGACTGGAAAAAGAAAACGCTGAACTACGTCACAGCTTTCCAGCCTTGCCGGACGGATGGTGAAACTTACGCAAGAAATTAAACACCTCCGTAAACAGACCCAAGAATGAACTGGTAGGACTCACTCTTATGCTCAGTATACGCCATCAGGTCCAAAGTATATGAGCGACGAGGAGAAGATGATGGAACGCATTGGCACCTTGGTTGAGAGTAAGCTGGCTGCTTTTGAGGCCAGATTATTCCCGGGTGCCACGCATCAGCAGCCATTGGGAACGACGAATATGGTCACTACTAAGTCGGTGCAGCGGCTGCCCAAATCAGCGAAACCTAAGCGGAAGAAGAAAAGGGCCTTTCAGCCGTCGGTAATAGATTTGCCCCCAGTAACTGAGCCGGTGCACCAATTAACAGCACCTGTAGAGCAGAACTCATGGGCAACTGTGGCTAAAAAGCCTAAGGCCCAGAAGCAGCCCGAGTCGAAGGATATTCGATATTTGACCAAGCAGAGTGGAAAGAGTAAGAACAAGGTCCCCCGTGCCCCTTCGTTTGCTGCTGTAACGGTAACACTTGCAGAGGGCTCGGCAACAACATATTCGAAAGTGATGGAAATAGCAAAAGCTAGAATCCAATTGGCTGACTTTGGCATTGAGACCATCCGTCAAAAACGCGCCATAACTGGGGGAATATTAATGGAGATTAATGGTCCCGAGTGTGGTCTTAGAGCTGATAAGCTGGCGGCTAAATTGCGTGAGGTCTTCTCAGATCCCGAAGTTCGAATCAATCGCCCAATTAAAACGGGTGATATTCGATTGAGAGACCTTGATGACGCTGTCAGCTCGTTGGAGCTGGCAACAGCAGTTGCTGAGGCAGGAGGCTGTTCAGTGGAAGACGTGAGGGTGGGGGAAGTGCGCCGATCTCCAAGTAGCATGGGAACATGCTGGGTGCGATGCCCCATTACGGCTGTACGAAAGTTGGCAGCCGCCAAAACAGTCAAGGTGGGTTGGGGGTCCGCCCGAGTGGACTTGCTAGAGGCCAGACCCCTACATTGCTACAGATGCCTCGAAATAGGCCACGTTGGGAGCAAGTGTCTAAATCATGTCGATCGTAGCTCTCGTTGTTATACCTGTGGTGAACCTGGGCATAGGGCCAAAGAGTGTGTCGCTAAAACTCCTAAGTGTCCTCTATGCTCGGATTTGGGGCGGCCCTCTGGACATCGATTGGGGAAGCGATGTTCACTCCCAAATCAAAAGGGGAGGAAAAGCAACCAATCCGGTCCTTTGCTTAATTCAAATAGGATGAGTGAAGTGGCACCAGTTGCGGAACCGAGTACTAACTCGGTCATGGAGGTTGTTGAGGCATAAAATACCCGTCCCTGAAAGTCATACAGGGTAACCTAAACCACTGCCGCAATGCACAAAACTTGTTTATGCAAACTATTGTGGAGTGGAAGGTTGCCCTTGCAGTAGTCGCAGAGCCCTATGTTGTGTCTAACCATCCCCACTGGTTCGGCGATGACTTGAGCTCTGTCGCCATCTTATGGTGTTGCGGAACGGATGTTCCACCCTGCACTCTGTTGGAAAGGGGGCGGGGCTTTGTTGCCGTACAATGGGGCATCCTGGCCTTCGTTGGCTGCTACTTCTCTCCGAATACATCACTCACCGATTACGAAGTGTATCTGGATGAGTTGACAGATTGCGTTCGCAGGTGCCTACCTCGCCCTACGATTGTCCTAGGGGACTTTAATGCTCACGCTAGAGCATGGGGAAACCCTAGAGATAGTCCGAGGGGGGAAGCTATCATGGCATGGGCAGCAGGACTTGACCTTCGACTGCTAAATCAGGGGTGTGTTAGCACATGCGTGAGATGGCAAGGGGAGTCGGTCGTGGATCTAACATGGGCAACTTCTTCTGCAATACCGTATGTATCGGGCTGGCGAGTGGCAGAAGAAATAGTTACTCTATCGGATCATCGCCACATAGTGTTTGATATTAGACTACGCCAACAGGTTGATTTCCCCAGCCATCGTAATGGTAGCCCGCCGCGACGTTGGTGTCTCAAGCGCCTTGACCGGGACATGCTTGAAGCTGCTACCATTGTTGCAACTTGGCCGGAAAATTCTGAAGATGTTCCGTCCGACCCGGAAAAGGAAGCAGACTGGTTTCGGGGTACAATGACGCAAGTCTGCGATGCATCAATGCCTCGCATCAGTCACCGCCGAAGCAGGGTTGTGTACTGGTGGTCAACAGAAATCGCTAGACTTCGCGCCGTTTGTTTGCGGTGCAGACGCCAGTACTCCAGAGCCCGGAGACGAAGAAGGGCACCGGTTGAAGAAATAGCTAGACTGTACATGGCGTACCGAGCGGCTACAAAAGCATTGCAGAGAGAAATTTCTGATGCTAAATCTCGATCATGGGCAGAACTCCTAGAAGATCTAAACGGGAATCCATGGGGCCGTCCATATAAGATCCTGCTAGGAAAGCTCAAGCCCTGGGCACCTCCCAAAACGGAAACCCTAGATCTAGCCCTATTGGGGGAAGTGGTCAACACACTTTTTCCGGCAGAGTGGTCAAGTCGCTCAGTCCACCATATTAACGCATGGGAGTGGGAGACAGAGATGGAAGTCTCTGTGTCGGAGCTAGACCGTGCTGTTAATCGCCTGAGAGCCCGGAACACTGCTCCAGGACCAGACGGAGTCCCTGGTCGGGTGTGAGTATTGGGTCTTAATATCCTAGGACAAAGATTGCGTCGGTTGTTCACCAGCTGCCTCCGATATTCCAAGTTCCCTACGGCCTGGAAGGAAGCTAAATTGGTCCTTTTAAAGAAAGAAGGCAGGGCTGCAGAATCTCCCTCTGCGTACCGTCCCATATGCCTCTTGGACGAGATTGGCAAGCTTTTCGAGAGGATACTTGCCACTCGTATTAACAGCCACCTGTCGCGCGTCGGTCCCGGTCTCGCAGAAAACCAGTTTGGTTTTAGACAGGGGCGTTCAACTATAGACGCTATAATGCGCGTTCGCTCCTTGTCTGAGCAGGTGATCTCCCAGGGTGGAGTTGCATTGGCGATAAGTTTAGATATCGTCAATGCATTTAATTCAATTCCCTGGGATGCAATCAAGGGGGGACTATCACACCATCAAGTGCCCCTCTACTTGCAAGCCGTTATCGCGGACTACTTGCGCGACAGATATATTTCATACAAAGATTAAGACGGCAGGAAGATCCAGAGGGAGATCCAGCGCAGTGTTCCACAGGGGTCCGTACTAGGCCCGTTACTGTGGAACATCGCCTATGATGCAGTCCTGCGTGTCGATCTCCCTGCTAAGGTAATGATGATACACTAGTTATCGCTAGCGGGAATACCTTTGAGGAGACCAAGGACCTCGCCGAGCTAGTCGCTGGGGTTTTGAGGAACATTTTAAGCGCCTAGTCGAAGCCCCGGAGGCAGAGAAGTTTCTCTGTATAAGATGAGACCGCGAGCTGTAAACATTGCGGAGGGAGAGATGAGCACCCATACCCTGGCGAATTGTCCGGCGTGGGAATCAGAACGCTCTACCCTAACGAGCGAAATCGGACGGGACCTCTCTCTACCAGCTGTCGTGTCGGTGATGCTGAGTGGAGATACGGCATGGAGGGCCGTAGCCACCTTTTGTGAGAAGGTAATGGTCCAGAAGGAGGCTGCTGAGCGAGAGAGAGAGAGGATGGATCCCACCCGGAGGCGGGGCCGCAGATATGCTCGCGCATCTCTTCATTGCCCTTTAAATAATAATAATAATGGTTCTCCCCTACCTGCAACAGGGGCACAAAGGTCGCTGTGAAGGCAGCAGACCGATGCAGGTACAGTCCTAAATATCTAGCACTGCGAGAATGGGGCTATCTAAGCCATACGAAGGAGGGGCCGCGGTAGTGTTCCGAAAGGAGATCCCGTGACCCCTCATTTGAGTAGCTGGCGACGCACGTGGGGTTTTAGTCGGTGAGAGTCCGACATAATCTGGGTTACCCCTCACAGGGAGCTCAGGTATCCATAATGGATTTCCCCACGGAAAAAAAAAAGGTGTTTCAGATATCAATGGGCGGCGATTATCACTTAACATCAGGTAAACCGCCAGCTCGTTTGCCTCCTTCTCACATAAAAAACTGGGTCGATTTCACTTTTAATATATTTTTTACATATATTTTTCATTTAGCCAAGGCCCGGCAGATTCTACGTCGATCCTTAATGGTTGTCTATATCTATTTTATAAAGAGGAAAGATTTGATTGTTTGTATGTATTGAATAGGCTCCTAAACTACTGAACCGATTTGAAAAATTCTTTCACTGTTGGGAAGCTACATTATTCCCTCTTGATATAGGCTATATTATATTTTAAAAAAAATAGGGATCCTTACTAAAACTTCATTAATGTAACCCAAAGTGTAGAAAAATTACCTAAAATATTCTTTACATCGCGTGCGCTGCGAAAACTATTGATGATAGAATAAAATAATGTACTACGAATTTGCAGAATACATTATTATTTCCAAAAAGTCTCGCTAGAGCATATGTCTAACTACTATAGTTATGCCACAATAAGTGTTCTTTTATTTTAAAATGTTGATTGAAATGCCGCCGCTAGAAAAGGCACTTAATTTGTATCTTGGTATTAATCCTTATAAAAATAAATTACTTCATATTAAAGACTGTTTCAATAGCATTATATTACTTTTAGAATTATTAAAATCGGACATTCAATTCGAAAGATATCACAAGTTTAAAAATGTTAGTATATTGTAATTTAACTATCCAAACAGCTTAGTGACTGACTAACGCCCGGTTTCTGAAACACCGATCATCGTAGATGTCAACTAATCACCGTCAAATGGCTTTTCAAATTTCATTTTAGTTGCCTCGCACTTGGCCGGTTTTTATTCAATACATTGTCGATATGATGGCAAAAAGATATCAGAAAGATTGAATTACATAATTATGATGTCGTGATCACCAGAGACTGAGGGCTGGTGAAACATTCATCTTAGAGACGCCTTAAATCAAGACATTGGCCCATCAAATATCGGTCAACGTGTAATCTGCAACGTCATATTCATTTACGGGTTCTCCGAGTTTTCTGCATTAAAAAACCAAAGATGTGATGATTTATGTCCGAAGCTATAGGAGACCAGACTTATTTGTCACTTTTACGTGTAACCCCGAATGTCCCGTAATTAAATCGGAAACATTATCTGGCCAGCGGTCTTTCGATCTTCATGACGTAATTTCAAGGGTATTTCATTAAAAGATGAAGAAATTCATAAAATTATTCACCAAAGACGAAATATTCGTAAGGTTTTATGTGTGTGTATGATAACTTTTTGTTATATACCCATGCGAAGCCGGGGCGGGCCGCTAGTTATTAATATGACACCCAAATATCTAGCTGCTTTTTGAATCCAGCTTTGTGCAAACGGTTTGAAACTGTTTTATGGTCGATTAATAGCTCCGGGGCAATGCTTCAACTGCTGAAATGCTACTCAACTATGATTATTTCTGTGATGTGTCTTTCTGTCGATAGACATTTCCCACTTTTATAACGGACGAATGCGCGTGAAATGCATATAAGGGAATGGAAGCCCGTCGAACGTCCATTGCTCCGTTGATTGGCAGGGGAGTGGAGAATGCGGAGAGAGAAAGGGAGGCAACTGACACGCCTGGATATCCGCCACCGGAGACCAGGGCGTAGGAGGCTGGCCTACGCGCGCAACCTACCCGCGCCGGGTAACGCGGAAGATTGCGTCCACGTGTTCCCGTGTCCAAGGCCGATGCGACAGAGACAGGTGCAACGTGGGTTTTTTAGCAGGTACTCGTTTCTTACCGGGACTCCCATATCTCCCTACTCCCTCGATCCAATGGCAGGGGAAATAAAGGATTTCTCCCACGGAAAAAAGGGGGAGTGGAGACTTTCTTCGTGTAATTCCAATGCACACTCTCTGAAATTAGTCTAGCGTCCTATGTGTGTATATAAGCTGTAACATTTTGAATTAACTTTTCAATGTCTTCTTATTGTCAGTAGCAAATTGTTAACCGATACTGGTTTGTTTTTTTTTACTATTTTCAAATTGAAATTAACGCAACTGCAGTTCTCCAAAAGCCTTTTTGATTTCTTTCAGTACTGATGCCGGAAAAAGTAATCCGGAATGTCATCACCGAAGTTTTTATCACAGTCGCGCATTCAAAAGGATAAAAAACATGGACATGTAAGGATTATTTATATAAGAATGCCAACTCTTAAAGAAAAATTATCGAAATATCCGACTAGTTGTAGCAGTTAATTATTCAAGGCTATTCCAATAAACATACCTTCAGACTGTTATTAATAAGACAGACGATAAAATCTTAAGACATGTTTAAAAGATGCTTTTATAGTTAAAATCGATTAAGAGTATAACAACTTAAAGTTCTTTCTTGCATACAACAAAATACATGCAAGTGTTTTGTTCACTGCTTATTAGCTATTCATAATCCTCGACTTATACGGTTTTTTTGTATAGGTATATTTTCTGCAACTGGTTGACTCCGGATTTAGTGCCAAAGCCCAACAATAAGGCTTTATTCACAGCTATAGTATAAGATAATATGAGAAATCAAAACTGAAATAATAGAGTAAGAGCCCGTGAATCCCAGACCTTCGTCATTTTATAAAAGCTGAAAGATTGGCAGCGCATCCTCCCAAAACAGGTAAGAACGATGGACAATGGTAACTTACGAACGTGTTAATTTCTTGTAAAATTTTGACGTTTCATAAGAACGCGCAAGCGTCTATGTGAATAAAGATATTTTATTATTATTATTATTATACAATAGTGACCTTTGGCAGGCAAACGGTACTAAAAGTGTGTGAAATACCAATCTAAATTCGTCATATAATAAAGTGCGATTTTTTGGTATTACCTTTGGAATATTATTAAAAATCACGTTATTCATTGCCAGACACGTAACATCGTGGCAGCCCCTAGGTAGACAAGCATGTAGGGTAGCTGTAGGAGAGAGCGCAATATTATGGCATTCGTGGCATCGCCCTCAATCTCATTGTCTCTTACCTTAGTAATAGAATTCAAAAGTATCTATAAATGATGTTAATTCCGTTGGGTCCCCGATGAAAATGGGAGTTCCACAAGGATCAATCCTGGGCCCATTATTATTTTTAGTATATATTAATGATCTCCCCTTTTATGCCAGTGGGTTGTGTGATGTTGTACTGTTTGCTGACGATACATGGCTAATATTTAAAGTTGACCGAGACGTATTAAATTATGACGACGTGAATAGTGCACTTTCACATATCCTCCACTGGT